CCAGCCAGGAAGACAGCTGCTTAAAAGCAGCGGAGAGGGTGCAAGTAATATTGATTGCCAATGGACTGGTGCCCAGCTATCCAAGTCCAGCCACAGTGGAATTTGCTTCATCATCCTCGTCAACCAGCACCGACTTTATATCACTGCAGGTCACACGCCTCAATCAGCTTAGCCAGTCTCACCTCGACCTGTCACCGCCAGATAGGACCAGCGCCTCCTTCTACTCCTTTCTTGCGCTCGCGCTCGATCCTAAAAGTATTTGTGCTCGTCGAACACTTGCCATGTGCTACCTTGCAGGATCGACGCCTTTCCCACTGACTTCGCCCCCGCTTGGAGATGTCTTGTCAGCACATGCCACCCTGCATCTGCTCACAGATGGACCCAGCACGATCTTCGAGGACGCGGAATGCGCTCGGCTGTACGCCGAGGCTTGTAGCAGGTTGAGCAAGTTCGAAGAGGCGGAGACGGCGCTGAGATGGACGGCCTCGCGCACAGACAAATCCTCGACCTTCTCGAGCGGCAAAGTACACCCGAGTGCCGATGCGAAATCCCCAACTGGTTCGTCAGTCGACTTGTCAAAGGGCATGCTCGAACCGCATCGTGTCGTTCCAGGCTTGACGCGCGAGCAGGTGAGAGCGCAGGCCCACGATGAGGCTGAGTTGGCCGCTCTGGCTTGCAAAAGTGGCAAGAGCCAGGATGCGGAAATTGGGTATGCGGCAGCGGGCGTCGATCCTTGGAATTGGCGCGCTTGGATAGGAAGGTGCGGACTTGGTGAGTGGTGGTAGAGACGCTGGCGGCATGCTGTGAAAGGCATATCCGAGAATGTAGACTTATCTTCTCTTTCGCGCACCACCTCTGTACGCTTCAACCAGCCTCCGACCCTTCGGCCGAGTACGCGTTTCCAGGCGCTCTGGCCCACCACTCCCCAGCGGTCTTCTTCGCGGCCGTCTTCCTCGAGCGGCTGAGCGCCGCAGGAATAGAAATCACTGCGGAAGGATGCCTTTCCTGGGTCGCAGGCCGAAGTGCTAATGCAGAGCAGGAAGGGAGAGTGGGCAGCATGAGCAAAGCTAACGCGGCTGTAGCGAAAGAAAGCAATGTGGTTGAAGCTGCTGCCGCGGCTCCCACGCGAGCTGGCACTCACACCTCTGCTCCTCAGGTCCGCCCTGGCTCACGGCATCCTTCTCAGACTGCTGGCAGCGCAGTATTCGCTGGGGTCAAGCGAGTGAGAGCAGCCGGAACAGTTGCTGCACCTTCTAGCGCAAACGCAACCAGATCGCAAAGCACCACGCGCAGCGGCGCGGCCGCCACGACTCGTCCAGGTGTGAGGCAAGGATTGTCCATTGGCCGCCAGAACGAACCGCCCACTCGACCGGCTAGCAGTATGAGTGGAAGCAGCATTCTGACCTCTTCGGCAAACGCGGCAGATGAGAAACCGACTTCTTCTCAAATTGTCATTGGAGGATCTCAAAGTCAGCGAGTTACCAGATCTGCTCTAGCTCCTACTTCTGGAGCAGCACAGACCAGGTCGCGCACGGTCATTTCGCAGGGTGGGAGGAGCGCTGCCACCAGAAACACCCCTTCGTCCGCATCTCAGACTACACCTGCTCCACAAGGGGCGGCAAGGACAAACGCCGTTGCTGGCAGGACTGCCGTAGCGACTGGTACACAAGCCCCCCGACGTGCCATGAGGGCCGGTGCACCTTCCTCTGCGACTTCCTCGGAAAACGAAGCGGGGCCTGGACATCGCAATGCGGGCCTGCCTGCAGGTCGATCGAACAGTAGCGGTCAAAACAAGGAGCGCAATAATGCGCTTGGTGAAGAGCCGGCCGCGATGGATCGTGCGCTGAGGGAGGTCTTGCGAGCGTCTTGCGAAGAGGCTGCTCGCCTGGCTTGCATTTGGTCTGCTGTGGATGGAGCGGTGTTGGACGTGGTGCGGACGATGGCGGAAGCCTATGGCGCCTTGAGTCGAAACGTGGGCCGCAAAGCCTGCTGGGTTTTGCGACCTTCGGAGGAGATGTTTGGCGAGACTTCTTCTGGCTCTAAAACGAGGTCTCTTGGTGTCGGTGAAGGCTGGAAAGATCGAGGGGATCATAGGAGGGGCTCATTGCCTGCTTCTGTGCGCGATGCGCCTGCTACGAGATGCCTCTTGGGCATTGCCGCATACCAAATGGCGGACTATGCTACTTCTGAACGACACTTTGCCTATGCGAGAGCCAAGGACCCCTCGATGGTGCAGCACATGGACATTTTCTCCACAGTCTTGTTCTATCTCAAGAGGGAAGTAGCGCTCTCTGCGCTCGTCTGTCACTTGATGCTGCTGGACTCTTCGCACCCTATCGCTCAGATCGCAGCAGGAAATGCTTACTCGATGCAAGGAGAGCATTCGATCGCTTTGAGGTGTTTTAGACGAGCGGCGCTCGCTTCGCCTGCTCATCCTTATGCTTATACGCTGGCGGCACACGAAGCGAAAAGTTTGAACCTGCTCGAACGAGCTATCGCGCTTTATAGAGCGGCGATCAGAGCGGATCAGAGGTTTTGGAACGCTTGGGCCGGGTTGGCAGAGGTTTATATGGCCAATGAGTCTTTTGACCTCGCAGAGTATCACTGGGGAATGGCCTTGAGACTCAATACCGGCAATGCGGTCTTGTGGGACGTATATGGCCGTGTGAGTAAAGGCACACACGCGAATCATGTCCTGCTCTTGGTTTGTTCAGCGCGCTTCTGACGCGCGATTTTCTTCTTGTGCTTGTTACAGTGCCAGGAAGCGCTCAGTAATCCTGTAGAAGCACGCACGGCGTACGAACGAGCTATCAGTCTGGATGCCAAGCTCCCCAGCACTCGCCTGCGTCTTGCCCAGCTGCACGCGTTCTTTGGTGACACGGAGGTACGTGGTCTTGAGCGCATCGCAGTATGCCAAGCTCCTTGTTCTCACACGCTTACGACCTCTTGCTCTCGCTTTTCTGCCAACGCTCAACAGAAAGCGCACGAGCAATTGCTGTTGACTTGCCAACTAGCGCCCGACGAACCCTCGGTGCATCTAGAGCTGGCTCGATCGTACATGAAGCTGGGCGGAGGAGAATTTTCAACCGCTTCCACCTCTCGCAAGAAGACGCAGCTGGAGAGGGAAAAGCGTGGATGGAGCGCCTGGTCCAATGCTCAGGGCAAAAAGGTGCTTCGAACCGCTCTTCCAGAAAAGATGCAGGAATTGGTCGCGCACCATCTTTGTGCGGCCATCGATCTGGACCCGAGATCGCTCCGGGAGATCAAGAGTATGGGAGAGGGAGCTACGAACGCGTTGAGAGGGGCGGCTTGGCAGTCTAGAACGAGCATGGGGGCAGAGGAGGAGGATGAGGATGAGATGCATGTGGATGAGGATGAGAGTGTAAACGAGGAGGAGCAGGACGAGCAGGAGCAGGACGAGTTGGAGGAAGAAGTGATTGGATATGCCGATGCCGATGCGGATGCGGACCTGGACGAGTCGGGCGCCGCCGCAGCAAGTTCTTCGTCGGAAAATCAAGATGCTTCCACATCTCGCCAAGCTCGACATGCCTTGCAAGCTGGAGACGGAGAGTCGTTGGACGCGGACGATCTGAGAGCGGTACAGGAGGCTTTGGACGATGATGAGATGTATGCGGCCGAAGAGAGCTCGGAGAGGGATGAGCTGGAGGTGGGAGAGGAACTGTTTAGGGGTGGTGCTGCAGCTCAGACGAGCCAGAGTCAGGATATGGACGTTAGCTCGTGACACCGAATTTCCCTCTTCTCATTTCCCCTGCTAGCCCTAGCTTCATCTTGGCCCCGAGGCAATCTTTTGTACGCTCCTCTTTCTCCCTCTTGGGGCTACTTTGCTGCACCCCCCGCACTTCATTCACTGCTCAATGTCACATGCGAACTCGTATTTTGCGCACGTCGGAATTGTGCCATGCCAGACCACTGGCGCTTTCAAAAGATGCGAGGTACGCAAGGTGCAAGTGCGGTCTGTGCCCAGTATTACATTGTTCTAAGCGCAACGCGCATCAAATCCTCTGGATGGCCCGATGCAATCCTTTCACATCCTCCAATCTCTCTACTCGAAACCCTGCACCCGGCTGCAATTCTCGCGCATGATCCACGCTCTGAGCAGCACGGCTGACCGACAAAGCTAGCTCTTCAGACTCGCCTGCCGAATTGCTTTCGGGCAAAGCTTTCCTCAAGGCTTCCCATTGTTCACTCCCAGCATCAACCGCTCCGCACAACAAGGGTCCGACAAAAAGTCCATCCGTCTTCCATCCTGACCACAAATCTTCTATCGCATGTCTGGTTGACGGCACCTCTGGAGAAGGGTCGAGGTAGAGCAGGTAGAGCGCATCGAAGCCTCCCGCTACGAGGTGGGGTCGGTGCAAAGTGTGAGCAGTGTGACAAGATGCTTGAACCCTTTATATTCCTACCAATGCATCTTGGCCCAAGAAGACCTCTTTCATCACCTTTCAGCTATCCTTCTTATCCTCGCAGCCTACACCTTCATGCATCTAGCTCCACATTTGTTGGGGGACATTGCTACTCACCACCAGGCACTCCGCCTCCCAAAACCCCATCAGCTCCATCCGTCGAAGCTCTGAGGACTCTTCCCATCTCGTCCGGCTCTATAGGCGCGCCGGCTCGCTGACCCAGCTCCCTCATGCCCGCTCGGATGGATCTGAGAGCATTTCGAACTTCTATCAGGAGCGTCAGGATGCTCGATTGCGATGACGGCGAGGAAGAGGTGTGCGCGACGTCCGATGCAGGCAGAGAACGAAGCGTTGCGTCCCACTTGTACCGAGAGGTTGGGTGGGGGTCTTGTAGGTCAGACTGGGTCTCCGCGCATGCCGCAACATGGGCTCAAACAAAGTGCGCCAAAAGACTCACGTCTTTGCTCCTCTGGCTCGCAGCCAACTTGATAGCTTCATCGTAAGCCTTGGCATCCTTACCGTACTCCAATCCTAGAGCCAAAAGTCCATCGGCAAGGTTAGCATTGCTAGCTGCCAAAATGCTGAATAGCTGCTTCGCCCAATCAGGTTTCGCCTTTTTCCAGGCGCTGACTTTGGACACTAGGCTTGGCGTGGAAGAACCGGCATTGATGTCTGCTAGGATGAGAGAGATGTGAGGCGGAAGGGATAATGGAGCTGGACGATGTATTTGCTGAGATGCGGTCGAAGAAAAGTGCAGACCTTCTACTGCTGTCGGATTTGTCCCGCACTCGCTTGTGCTTGCGTCCGAGTGCAACGGAGATGGCTGCCAGATCTTGTTCGATGGTGATAGAGCTTTACCAAGATCGGCTTCGCTTCGCAGAGGCTGCACGCGGTCGGAAAAAGAAGGCGTCAAATTGGGACTCTTCCATTAGTTGTGCCATGCGCGGGACTCACAACTTCTCCCTCCCCTTCAGCCCCGACTTTAGTTCCGTCCATCAAATGATTGATGGCAATCGGGTCAAACCGTCTGTACAGATGGCTCCCCCAGACGGCCGAGCTGACATCGAATCCGCTTCCGACTTTTCCCTGCGCCGCGCAGTGGACCAATTGAGCCGTATTGTGCACCAAACCCAGATCTGTGGGACTTAATCTCCTTTCCTCCCATGGTCTTTTCAAAGCATCGGACGAGGATGTGTGCGATGGACTGGGGCCCAATCCGACGAGTCCTAAGTGCAGCATCAAGCTTCCCACGAGCGAAGTGGTCATGGCGGCTGATGAACCCAGACCGGTCTTGTGCACATCTTTGACTATACAAGACTGCTTGTTGAATGGTGGAA